CTCAGTATTGTACCGCATGCTATGCGATCAGCCATAGTACAAACGAGTTTAAAGTACTGTAATGTTTGGGGATGTTTCAGAAAGTTGTCTCTTACAACAAATATGAGATCAGAAGATTCTGCTTATAGTGAATGGTTAATAAAACTTGGAGATGACAAACTTGATAGCAGTTTTCATTTAGGAATGGATATTATTGAAATCCCCTGTGAAATTATTTATAATAGATCTATTATTGAAGCTACCTTTAGAAATACTATGTCTATAGATAATATTAAAATATATCTAAATATGCGATACTTTGTCCAAAAAATGAGCACATTCAAAAATTAAATGAAGAAATTTTGGATAGACTCGATGGAGATTTTCACACATATTTGAGTGATGATTCTGTTGACTCAACAGATGATGCCGAAAAGGAAAATTTTGCCATAGAATTTCTTAATAGTATTACTCCTTCAGGAATGCCATGTCATAAATCAAAATTGAAAGTGGGTGCAATCATCATGCTACTGAGAAATCTTAATAGTAAATGGGGTCTTTGTAATGGTACCAGATTTATTATCAAACGATTAAGACTTAACATTATCAAAGCTGAAGTATTAACAGGATCTGCAGAGGGAGAGGTTGTTCTGATTCCAAGAATTAATTTGTCCTCATCTGACACTGGCCTCCCATTTAAATTGATTCAACGACAGTTTCCCGTGATGCCAGCATTTGTGATGACTATTAATAAATTACAAGGACAAACTCTAGACAGAGTAGGAATATTCCTGCCTGAACCCGTTTTCACACATGGTCAGTTATATGTTGTTTTCTCTTGAGTTTGAAGAGCATGTGACATTAAAGTTAAAGTTCTAAATACTTCATCACAAGGGAAATTAGTCAAGCACACTGAAAGTGTTTTCACTCTTAATGTGGTATACAGGGAGATATTAGAATAAGTTTAATCACTTTATCAGTCATTGTTTGCATCACTGTTGTTTTCATATCATTTTTTGTTGCTTTTATATCATGTCTCTGTTGTTTTTATATCCTTTTGTTACTGTTTATTTATTAATAAATTTATATATTATTTTCATAGACATTTTACTAATTTCCTTTCATCTCTCACACTTCTATTATAGAGAAAGGACAATTAGCAATATTAAAATATTTCTGCTAATTAATTCCCTTTTAATGTGCACAGATTTCGTGCACCAGGCTACTAGTATGATAATAATAATAAAAGCATAATATGCTAATTAGACCGTACATCCTTCCAGATGACCTTCCGGACCAAGCCAGGGCTGTGAGGAAGGCCCAGGTCCCAGGTGCCAGAAAGAAGCCGGTGCTGGCATCTGGGGGAAGGAAGGCCTACTCTTGCATGAATTTCATGCATTGGGCCTCTAGTAGGAAATAAAATGCATCCAGATTTAAGAGGAAGAAGTAAAACTTTATGTGTTCACAAATGACATGATCTTTATATATAGAAGCCTTAAATATTTCACAAAAGCTATTAGAGCTAGTAAATGAGTTTAGAACAGTTGCAAGATTCAAGATCTTTATATAAGTATCTTTTGTATTGCTATACACTTGGTATGTACAATCCAAGAAATAAAATTAGGAATACAATTCCAGTTACTATTTTATTCTGTTCTAGCATCAAATAGAATAAAATGCTTAGTAATAAATTTAACCATGGAAGAACAAGACTTGTATAATGAAATTGATAAAGCATAGTTGAAATAACGTAAAGAAGACCTAAATAAATGGAAAGGCATCCTGCGCTCATGTATTAGAAATTTAATTTTGTTATGATGGTAATACTCCCCACATTGATCTACAGAGTCAATACAATCACTATCACAATTTCAAATGTATTTTTTGCAGAAATGGACAGAATAATCTGAAAATGCATATGGAAAGGCTAGAGGCACAGAATAGCTAAAACAATTTTGAGAAGAAAAAAAAACAAAGTTGGAGGATTCACATGTTCCAATTCCAACACGTACTACACAGGTACTGTAATTACACAATACAGTGTGTACAGATAACTTGTTGCAGAATTCTGCACCTGTAACCTGAATAATTTCGTTAACTAGTCAAACAAATAAATTCAATAACAAAATATGATGGTACTGGCATAAGCATAGATATAAAGGCCAATGGAATAGAAGTAGGAATCTAGAAAAAAACCTATACATCTGTGGTTAATTGATTTTTGACAAAAGTGTCAAGACCATTCATTGAGGAAATAATAGTTATTTTAACAAATGGTTCCAGGACAAGTGGAAAGCAACATGCAAAATAATTAATTTGAACTTCTATCTCACACTGTGTACAAAATTTATTGCAAAATGGATCAAAGACCTAAATGCATATATATAGCTGCAAATATAAAAATCTTAGAAACATGGGTGCAAATATTTGTAACCATGAATTAGACAACAGTTACTTAAATATGACAGGAAAAGCACAAATGATCAAAGAAAGAACAGTTAAATAGAACTTCATCAAATTTAAATACTTAATGGTTTCCTCAAAAAATTGAATATGGAACTCCCATTTTACCCAGTTCTAGGAATCCCACTTCTAGGAATATATCCTAAGAAACCTGAAGCACCAGTCAGAAAGAATGTATGCACCCCTCTGTTCATAGCAGCACAATTTTCAATAACTAAGATCAGGAAACAGTCCCAGTGCCCTTCAGTAGATGAGTGGATAAAAAAAGCTGTGGTACATGTATACCATAGAATACTATGCAGCAATAAAAAATAAGAAAATAAAAAAAGAACCTCTTACCCTTTGGGACAGCATGGAGGGACCTGAAGATTATTATGCTAAGTTGAATAAGTCAGTCAGAGAAAGACAAGTATCACATGATCTCACTCATATGTGGAATCTAATGAACAAAATAAACTGATGAATGGAGTGGATCCAGAGACAAGGAAGCATGGAACAAAGGGTGGAATCTCAGAGGGAAGGTGGGGGAGGGTGGGGGTGGGTGGGTGGGAGGTAATCACTAAAGACCTTGTATGCATATATGCATAACCCACGGACACAGACAATAGGGTGCTGAAGGCCTTGGGGGTGGGGGCGGAGCAGGCTGGAGGGAGTCAATGAGGGGAAAAAGGAGAATATGTAATAATTTCAACAATAAAGAATTATTTTTTAAAAATTAAATACATTATGCACCAAAAGACATTAACAAAAATGTGAAAAGACAACCCAGAGAATGTAGAAAACGTTTGCCAGTTCCCTAGCGAAATTTAGTCACAGAGTTTTCATATGACCCAGTACTTATACTTCTATGTATATGCCCAAAAGAATGAAAAAACATGTTCACACAAAAATTTAGACATAAATGTGCATAGCAATATTATAAATAATAGCCCAAAATTGGAAACAACATAAATGTTCACCAACTGAAGAATGGGTAATCAAAATGTGATATATATATATATATATATATATATATATATTTTAAAGGGTAATATGCAAATTAACTGTCACTCCAACACAAAGATGGCCACTATGCCAGCATCCCGTGCCCCTGCCACGGAGGGAGGGAGGACTGTGGACACAATGAGGGGCTGCTGGACTGGGGGCATGCTCCTGGTGGCCACCATGTGGCTTGGGGCATGCCCCCAGCCCAGCGGACACAACACGGGCTCCGATGAGGCCTTGAGGGGAGGTAGGGAGGAGTGGGGGTGCTCAGTAGGGTTAGAGGAGGGGCATCCTAGGGCTGGGAGACCTATGGGTGGGGCAGGAGGAGGCGTTAACTTTTCAGGACAGAGTCAAGGAGGAGGCTGGAGCCCCACTTGAGGGACGAGAGGCCAGAGAGCCAGGAGGGGAGGGACAGCAGGGAGAATATGGCAGCCAGATCCAGCCTAGCCTCAGGCCAGGTCTGCTCCAAAGAGACTGACATCACAGGGCAAAGGTGCTGGTGGGAGGGGTCAAAGGCCCAGGGCTGGAGGGCAGGGAGGGGACCGGGAGGGTTAAGGGGTGATGGGACCAACTGCTGCCCAGGTGTTCCCCATCTCTGGGGTTGGTCTCTGTCCTTGCTCAAGTCTGGTGCCCACTTTTCCCACTTTCCCTTAGGGCTTGCCACACAGTGGCTTCTTGAAGCCCAGGCTTGGTCTGTCCTGTCATCCTTTGTCCCCAGCCTTAGGTCTGGGCTCTGTCCTCTTAGCCCAGAATCTGGAAGTGGGTGTATATCCCCGCCAGCCCTGATGATAGGATCCAGCTCTGGGCCCCACCTCCTCAGCCACTGGCAGCTACCTTGACTATCTTCTCTGTGTCCACTAGGTGGCAGGCTTCCCCGGGGCAAGACGGAGTGGGGCTGGACTGCTCAATTCTTTTGGATCCTCCTTTCTCAGACTGAAGTAGCCAAGGAAAGGGGTTCAGGGGTGGGTGAGACTGAGGTAGAGAGCCAAATGGGGGATTCAGGGGTGGGGGAGGCTGAGGCTGCCGGCAGAGGAGACTCATTGAAGAAAAGAAAATAGAAAACTTTGTGGGTTTGGAGTGTTGGTAGGCATGCTCCCGGGAGCAGCTTTTCCAAGACGCAGGTGTTGGCAAGGAAGGCAGTTCAGGCTGCTGGGCCTGGGCCAGGCCTCCCCTTTCAGGGACCTGGGTGTTCACCTCTGTGTCACAGAGGTCAGCATGGCCTTAGGGACACCCACGCGGGGAGTGTGGCTGCAGCTTGGGGGACGTACTGGAGGAGGATGCCTGGCTCTGCTACTCCACTTGGGCCAGTCACTCCCCCAGCCTTGCCTCAGTATCCTCATCTGAGGGCTCCCAGTTTTTGAGAGGGGGAAGACTGGGCTGAGGGAACCCCCCTCCAGTGCATGAATTTAGTGCACCAGGCTTCTAGTTAAACCATAAAAAGAATGAAATATTGCTCTCCGAGTCATGTGCCAGCAAAGATGGCTATGCCAGCGCTAGCAAAGCACAGGTTGCAGTGAGCCTTAAGGCTGAGGAAGACCAGAGCAAGAACCTTCGGCTGGGAGGCAAGCATAAGGCTCAAGATGGAAAATCATGAATCAGATGATACTTTCAAGGAAGACCACATATTTGACATCATAAACAGAAAAATTAACCAACTTTCAGAAGCAGGAAGGAATCTACTTGAACATGGATCAATATACATTGGACTTAATGCTGCTGACTGTGGCCTAATAGCAAAGTCTTTTTTTGGCATCTTAAATGTGACACAGGCTCATATAGCTGCTGGTTTACCAATGGCAGAGATCCCATTTTTGACAGTAAATGTATCTTACAAAGGTTTTATAAGTTTACCATTGAATACAGGTGATTTGAACTGTGAAACCTGTACCATAACACCAGGTAGATTGGTTGGACTTGTTTTTGGTGGTCTGTACCCTCTTTTCTTGGCTATTCCTGTGAATGGTGGTCTGGCAGCCAGGTATGCCTCAGCCCTGCTACTAGAGAGGGGTAACATCTTAACCTACTGGGTCAGAATTTCTAAACCTATATTTAGAAAGATGTTATTTCCCATTTTGCTCCAGACTGGGTTTTCAGCATACCTTAGTTCTAGACAATATAAACTACTTGTAAAGGCTCTTCAGTTACATGAACTGGCCTAAAACTTCAGTGATTGTTAAGTAAATGTGTACACAAAAATAAGACTGTAAAAATAACGAAAGGAAAGAAAGAAAGAAAGAAAGAAAGAAAGAAAGAAAGAAAGAAAGAAAGAAAGAAAGAAAGAAAAAAGGAAGGAAGGAAGAAAAAGAAGAAAGATTAGACATGCCCTTCCCCTAGCATGTAGGTAATCCAATTCCCGCCAGCAGCCATCTTTAGGAATGTTAATTTGCATTTCTATGGCTACACCTTTTGCTAGCTGACCTTCCCAGAAAAGGTCAAGCAGCCAAAAGGTGGCTCCTTTGAAATCAGCTTTCCACCAGTAGTCATTTTGTAATACCTACAAGTTCGCTTCTCAGTTTCCCCGTGCAGAAAAAACATGTTTAAAGTTATTAGATTTTAATATTTATTCTTAAAAATATAAAAGTGTAGTTAATCAAAGAACTGCTAATATTTGACTTATAAGCTCTGAAAGTTTAAAGTGCAAATTGAATCAGGAGAAATTAAATATCTAATGTATAACTTGTTTTTGAAAAAAATAAAATGTGTTTTCTCTTAAATGATTAGGAATTCAAAATATGTTACTCATTGGTCTGATTTAAAAAAGAGGATTAATTTTATGATCTCAACTGAAAATTTTTTAGTACAAAAACCAGTTTAAATTTGATTGATATTCTTTAAGATAATTATAAAGGGTATAAACAGCTAATGAGATTTCTGTTTGTCTACAATATAATGTTGGTCATCTATCTTTTAGGGGTTTTGGTTTGCTCTGTCAAAGAACAGTGTAGACAGCCACCACTTTGAGCTGCTTGACTTGGCAGCCGCCATGTTGGCCACATGGCCTGCTGCTCCCCTGGGGGCCGCCATCTTGAAACAGCAAAGGCCCCTCCCTCTGACTTAACCAATCACAAAAGGAGTGTCTGCTCACTGAGGCAGGATGGGATTTCAGGGGTGGAGTTTTAAGGCAGAGTTTTACTATGGAAATGCAGATGGGGCAGAAAGTGTGCTTACCTCGCGAATTTATATAATACTATTTTTAAGAAAATATTTTTAATACTTAATAAATTAGCAATCATGGCCTTAATATAATTTCAGTGGTATGATAGACCAATGTTTTAAGCAGTTGGCTTTATAAGGGCCGACAACAGAGCTCATATTTCTTAAAAGGCTTGTAGATAAGAGACATTTTTGTCATCTTAAATTCTCAGTAGAACCATAGTTATACATATATCATAAACAAATAAAGAGTAATTGATTCCATGGTTAAGACTAGGTCCTATTATGTTGAGAACTGCTTTTAAACGTTGAAAATTCTTTAATTAGATATATATCTGACAGTTTTTCCCGAGTGCAATATTTCAAAATATAATATGCTTGGTTGCATAAGAAATTTCTGCCAAATAAAAGAAAAAATTGATTTATTAGTAGCAATGTCTTTATTTAAACTAACAAAAGCACCACACCGCTGCATTTTAAATTAGGCTGGAGGTGGGGCAGCGTTTGCACCTCGTGTATCAGACATAAAATTACTAAATTTACTAATCTTTGTAAGCAATTGAATCCTAGTAAAGTAAAAATCTTCTAAAAAGTTACTGAAGGCTTCCCATGATCCCTCTGTATATGCAAATAAGCCAAAAGGGAATGCTGTTTAAAAATATTATTTTAAATTTAATAAAAAGGAGAAATTTTAATATTTTGAAATATCTTCCACTAATATTTATAGGATAATCTAATGATTTGCTGTTAAAATACCAAATCTGAAAATAAGTACAGTCACCATAAATGTTTAATGACTTTGACTTGAAATACATGGCCTTGCGGCACTATCAGTCAAGTTCCAAGAAGTAATCCTATAGGTTACTTGGTGTAAAAGAGAAAGATTTTTCTTTTTTAAGTTGAAGTTCTCCAAGTGTAATCCAGCAGGAAGAAGACAAACCAGACAACCAACAGCCCAGAGACCACCTGAGGCAAGGTAAAGTGAAGTATGGCAACAATTAACTCAGGTAAAAACTGTTAGTTTCATATTGGTATTAGAAGGCACATTTTTCCTTTACCTGGTAAGGACAGCACAACTATCCCAAGGTCAGAGGGCTCCAGTTAGTGTGTCAACTCAGTGTTCTGGAGACCCAAAATTGTAATCTAGATAAAGTGCCTAAGTTTAACCCAGGTCACCCAAAGATTTGAAAGCCAAAACTTTAATTTAGATAGCATGCCTAAGTTTAACCTAGGTTACCCAAGGACTCTAGATAATGTATTTACCCAAAACTGTAATTTGGATAGCATGCTGTCTCTGTTTCTGTAAATTGCTTTTTTCTGTAAACTAGGTTCATTCCAAACCTTGAGTTTAAAAATTAAATTGTCATGACCTAGAGCAAAGAATATTCTTACATGGTATTATTCTACAAGTTTCATTAATAATTTTGATGCTTTAAAAGAGTATATTGTGCATTTATCCCAAACAAACTTACAAATTAATTCTTTGAATGTTTGGAAACAATTTAATATTTAAGGACAGAAAAGAATTTATTCCCTTCTATTGTGTGGAAGGCCCCCTGGAAAGGCACTTAAGCATTCTGTATTGACCTCTCTTGACCTTTTTTGCCAAGAGGATTTCCTCTTCTCACAATTCAATTGCCTACAGCTGTTACCTGAGTTCTCCATTCAAGCTGAGATCATGGTGGCTGGTACCATGGATCTGTCTCTTGCCCAATGGTGTAAGTTGGGCCCTCTCTGGAGAAGAAACCTGGGTTCCCTATGATCAATGCCTAGGCCTCGCCAGCAGGCGAGGTGATCCAAAGGCAGTAGTTGGGCATTGAGGCCAGAGGGAGATAGGTTAACAAGGAGACAGAACTGAACCTCACATCACCCTACTTGGCCCAAAGGATGGCTGGTAGTCAATGACGGGTAAGATCCCTCAGGGAGGGACAACCTAAGACAGGCACAGTCGGGGGGAGGCCAGTAGGAAAGAACTTGGGGTTCAACAGAGGTGGGGCACAGATCCTCACCCCCCCAATGGTGCAGGGGCTTGAACACTCGCCCCTTCTGAGGAAGGTCTCCTGTCCCCATGGCTGCTTCTTGCTTCCCATGCCCAGCCCAGATCAGGAACCAAATAACAGAAGAGACTTGGTCCAGCTGAAAATGGTACCCAGAAAAACAAAGACTTAGTTTAACAGACTCTAAATTTAAATCTAGCCTAACAACAGAAATGCTTAAGCCTCCTCAAGGATGTAAAGTGATCCTTTCAATTAATATTTACAGTGTAAATTAAGATTATTGTTAAAATATTAAATTTGACAGTAAAATAGTTGTTAAGTTTTCAAATTAATTAAATTTGGCTAACTTGAAATAAGTAATTATTCAAAAAGTATTAACCAAAATTTTCATTTCGTGGTAAAATTGCTTAACATACAAAAAAGTTATCTAGACTGCATTATATATTTTCCAAAAATCCTCCTAATTAAATAAAAAAAGAGGGGGATAGTGGAAAAATATAGTGGAAAAATGCCATGTAAGAAAATAGATCCTATAACTAAATTATGTTTAGATAAAATTTTTCATTTAATGCTAACAGCAAGACACCCAGAAAAAACACATGATGTCAGGGAAAGCCAGGAGAAGATCATTTCAAAGAAAAAATCCCCAAGTAAGGTTTTTCCTTTAACCTTTGGTCAAGAATATGTTTGTATACTTTCAGAGAACAGCTTCAAGACCATGTGGATTCCTGCAACAACAGATCCCAACTGATCAGATTGCTCCAGCCACAAAGACAAGAAAGACAGTTCAGAGATGTAGATGGTGAAGACGCCTTGTCATGATAGCAGTCAGCACCTGTGCATTGCTGCAGGTTGCTCAGGACCAAGAGCAAGGAACAAGGAGCAATGCAGCCAATTCAGGTGCCAGAGCGTTACATCCGTCACCACAATGGACTCAGACATTCACTCAAAAGGGCTAAGTACTGCCCTAATGACAGCAAAAGGGAAGAAAAAGAAAACTGAAAGACACAAGGGACTGTTGTGCCAATATGGAGTCATCTGAAGAAGTTAACGACTGAAGCGCAACAGATTGTGGAAAAGCAAGAAGTTGAAGCTACTTCTTCAACCATGTTCCTGCTCATGCTAGCATCTGTTAGTTGCCAGTCTTCTGCAAAGTCTTGCGCAGCCAAGTCCAGGGACTCTGAGTAAATATACACCAGCAGCAAAAGAGACTTTTATTCATTTAGTAGCAAAAATGTTAATATGTCTATAGTTCTGATTTCTCATATTGTTGTTTTGCATTGGCATTGTTTTGTTATTATTTAAGAGCCAGTTTTGTTCGTAACGTTCAAATTTTGAAAATGATAATATGTATGTAGTTTAGTTTTTGCATTTGCATTGTTTGCAATTGTTTTAATTCTAGAGCCCTACTATTAATGTTTAAAATTTTACTTTTATTATAGTAGCTTAAAAAACAAAAACGGGGGAGATGTAGAGGGCCGCCTGGGAGGCACCTAGGCATTTTATAATTATTGTCAGCTGAACTCAGAGCATAGGCAGAGCCACGCCCTGGTAACATGCTTCCCCAATAAGGCTGGACATGTTAATCAGGCAGGGGCAGAACTAGATATGTAAATCTAGGCCTTTAAAATAAACCTGCTGTGTGGCTCAGCCTGCTTTTTGCCGCCTCTCCATCAGAGAGGATGGCACCCACCTGGCCCTAGCTTAAAATCTGAAAAAAAAAAAAAAAAAAACAAGAAGAAAGAAAATGAAATATTGCCTGGCTGGTGTAGTTCAGTGGTTGAGCATCAACCCATCAACCCATCAACCACTGAACCATGCTTCAATTCCTGGTCAGGGTACATGCCTGTTGTGGGCTTGATCCCCAGTAGGGGGAATGCAAGAAGCAGCTAATGGATGATGTTTTGTTCTCATCGATGTTGTTATCTTTCTATTTCTCTTACCTTCCTCTCTCTCTCTATCTCTAAAAAAAAAAATTGATAAAAACAAACTTTAACAAGAATGGAGTA